TTTCTTCTTATTATTAACAATTTATACAATGGGTAAGTCAGCAGAAATTGACAATTCGTGAAATAGTCATCGATGCAACGAAACGCATCAACAAACCGACCACCACAGCCCGAACCCGAATATTGACTATTACGAATTCTGTATATTTTTTTTTTACCAAGTCAAGCGATCTGGCCATCACAAGCGATAGCTCAACGAAGTGGCTCGTCATCACGTGGACATTCATAGCGGCCAAAAACTCGGAACGCGTGACGTTGATTCTAAATGCAGTGGGATAAAAAAAAACCGGAGGAGCCCGGATATCAAAACAAAGACAAATCCACGCAACCACGGGGGGAGACAGAGAGAGACACGCAAACTCCAAATATACAACAAGCGTCAGTGCCGGGATCGAACCGATGCCTTCCAGTATAGCAGGCGAGGGAGTTAACATATCCTTGCAACCGTGGTGACGATGAGAGAGAGAGAGACATACAAACCCCCAATATACAACACGCGTCAGGGTCAGGGATCGAACCCACGTTTTCCTGTATATCAGGCCAGGGAGTTAACATCTCATCGCCATCGTGGTGATGATGAGCGAGAGAGAGAGAGAGGCACGCAAACTCCAAATATAAAGCAGGCATCAGGGTCCGGATCGAACCCACAAATTCCTGTATACCAGGCGAGGAATTTAACATCTCCTAGCCACCGAATCCGTGCCCACGTCCACGTGTAACCCATCTGTTATTCTCTCCCGTGCAGCCCGTTGGGGCAGACCCCCCCCCCCCTCCCTCGTTTTTGGTGTTAGATGGAGTGAGTATAAATGCGTTGAAACCCTCCACCACCCGACACAGCCAATTAGTAAGGGATTTGTCACGTAAACAAAACGCCAAATAGTTACTACTTCAGCCCACCGGTGTGTCGTGGAGAGTACATCCACAGCGTTTACCATTTGATGAGCAGTACGACGTTTCGCTGCTAATAATTACATCCAGCACCATCGCGCGATTTGCCAGAAAACTGAAGCAATCCACCTGCTTCCGGTTTTAAATCGAGCAGCAGCAGCAGCAGCACGACTCCATCACTGAACCCAATCAGCCCTTCACTGTTGGCGATCGTGTCCAGCACACAACGTCGTAAACATTCGCCCGCACATCAGACCCCCGCGAGAGAGGTGGACAAGCGACGCCCTGCTGGGCAGCCACCTGGCATTGCCGGATGGCCCCGCGTCTATCTTATCCGTGCTCGTGTCGCCTCCCATTCCACTCGTCCATTTCCACGAGTCTACATGTTGTTTTACCCGTCGTCAATTCCACCACCAACCCACAACCCACACGTTTCCCTTTCCCACGATCGCTGCAATTGCTTTTTGCCTGGATGCTCTTTGGTGTCATCCTCCTGACACGTCCACAGCCCGGCTGTCCTGCCTCCTACATTAGCGTCCTTCCTCGATACTGATCACAACTACGAAATGCGAGTTGACATGTCCAACACTGCCATCATCGTCATTGTCACCGTAAACACGCATGGATGGAGTTGGCACACGCGTACCCCCTCCGACTAGCACGGTTGGCTTCGTGCGGTGTGAAATGCGTTCAACATACACGCATACGTATAGGACCACAGAACTTGGACAATTGTTGGTACGGGTTCTGGCTGTCTCCCCTGTTTGTCTGTAGTTTCCCACGGAATCATTATTTCTCTTTAATCATTCCCCCCCTCTCTTTCTCTCTCTGAGAGTGAAGGAAAACGTTACGAGCTACACGACATTGCAACGTTGCTATTAAAAGTATGACTATTATTGCAAAGCACCGTTGGCGTCCCTTCTGTGAAACTGCACGATCTGAGTCACGAGTCGGCCCTTAATTTAGCACGTGTTACAGAGTGCTTTGGTCGTCGTGGTAGTTGTTGTTGTTGTTGTGTTTGTCAAGTGTAAGAGCGTGGCGTTATAGACACGCGCATTCATTGGTCCGTACTCCGCCTCTAGAGAACCGCCGCTGGGAGCTGTTGCGGCGTTAACAGAGCCAACGCAACGCATCGCAGCTCAAGCCATTCTTCACCAATACCATTGCATACGTATAATAATACTAATGACAATGCTGATATGGGTATGTTTACAATGCTTTGTCGAATCCACTGGCCGTCACTGGATCAAACTCACAGAGCAACATCGTCCCGTCCACCCCCGCACCTCCGATGAGCACGGTTGGCTACGTACGGTGCGAAAGAAGTTCGACATACATACATACTGCCCATAGACTCAACACTGCTACCATAGACTCAACACTGCTACCATAGACTCAACACTGCTACCCATAGACTCAACACTGCCCATAGACTCAACACTGCTACCCATAGACTCAACACTGCTACCCATAGACTCAACACTGCTACCCATACACTCAACACTGCTACCCATAGACTCAACACTGCTACCCATAGACTCAACACTGCTACCCATAGACTCAACACTGCTACCCATAGACTCAACACTGCACCTCCGATTAGCACGGTTGGCTACGTACGGTGCGAAAGAAGTTCAACGCACACACGTGTGTCCAACCCACCCAGCGCCCCACTATTGGCAGGCTATACCGGTCTGTGAAACACAGCTGCTTCTAGCTTCGTGACAGCACCTGCCCAATGAGGAATGGGCCAAATGCCAAATGTAGTAATGAGGTCATGATGATGATGATGTTGTTCATTATTATTATTGATGCTGCTGGTGTTCCGTGCATTTTTAAACACGTGAAAGATGTGTACCCGTGGTGGCACCACTAGTCAAGGATGTAAGCCACGGGAACAATTAAAAAACACAGCACACAAAGTCAGGAACGCATGCGGTTGCTTGCTGGACCATGCACGGTGTCATAGTTTAAATACAAACTGTAGGACCAGTGGCCTCTCTACCACCACCACCACCAGGCAAAGGGGGAGTAGAGTCAGTTGCACAAAAGGGCAGCAGGGCAGCAGGGTGAGCGGCAGAGAGCGGCAGGGGGAAGAGAGGGCACGGCTCGAGATGAGGACCGCGGGGAGAAGAATGAGGAGGAGCGCTGGGCAGGAAGGGAAGGAGGAGGAGGAGTGGGGGTGGGGGGGAAGGAATGACCGGATCAAGTTGTCGGGGACGAGAGGGTGGTGATGATGAGAGGGTGGTGATGATGAGAGGGTGGTGATGATGAGAGGGTGGTGATGATGAGAGGGTGGTGATGATGATAGGGTGGTGATGATGAGAGGGTGGTGATGATGAGAGGGTGGTGATGATGAGAGGGTGGTGATGATGATAGGGTGGTGATGATGAGAGGGTGGTGATGATGAGAGGGTGGTGATGATGAGAGGGTGGTGATGATGAGAGGGCGGTGATGATGAGAGGGAGAGCGAGAGATGAGAGGAGGAAGGAGTAAGCAGGAGTAAGACCGACGTCTGTTTTCACAGTGGGCGGTAGTGGGGAGAGAGAGGTGGAGGGGGGATCCAGAGTCAAGTTGGCCGCGCGCGGGTCACGTGATCTGCGTGTAGGCGTGAGCCGATGTCTATATCGATCGATGCCCAATGCTGCTTCACGCGCCGTAGCAATTCGGCGTGCGTAATGCACGGCGTGGTGAATGCACGAGGAACGCCAACGCGCGACAGAGCGCACGGCTTGCGGATCGCCTTGCAGCGACGTGAGCCAGCCCGTTCCGCGTAGCTCACGCGGCGTCAACATCGGCACGGGGAAGCTTATTGCAACAAACGTGTGTATCGTTACGAAACAGCTCGGCCCTTTCAGATTGTCACAAATCTCGCCTCGACGATACGTTCACGAAGCCTTAACCGTGCGTCCTTCCTCAATGCCCATTTTTTCATCAGCGGCCTCGAGTACGTTGATGGTCATTCCGCGTTGCTATGACGGAGATCGGTCTATCCATGAAGGCATGCACCGTTGATCACGGACAAATCGCCATCGAATGCGTTCGTTAACGTCATCACTCGGGATCTAAGCGGGTGCTGAGCCTAGTTAGCAATCGCATGGTGATCAAAACCACCACCACTACCACCCAGGGCTTGCCAGGAGATGGCAGTAACGAATCTCTCCCCCTCGTATGCCAGGGTTTCTCCTGCTTCTCCGGTTTTTTTTTCACGGAATCGCAATCTTTTTTTAATGTCGGAAAGAATCCGATGAGCTATCAAGCTCTTTGTCACAGATGTCAACGCTCTTCGCTGCTGATGGGATGCAAATAGGCCACACTTCAGAGTGTCGTACCGGGGCGAGTCTTTCTTTGGTCAATGTTTGGTATTATCATCATGTTATTATGTTTCAATATTGTTGTGCTTATAATTACTTGTCGTGATACGTTCTTCTGATCTCGAGGGCAACGCCGTTCGTTGGCAAGATTCTGCGCCACCGCCCCACCCTGCCACCCCAGAGACCATCTCGGAGGCATATTGCTCGGTTCGGTCGTGTGTCAATGATTTACTTCGGGAGTAGTAAAAGGGCATTGGTTAATAAAAAGGGCATTGGTTGATTAAAGGGCATTGCTTAGATACTAGGACATTGTTTCATACAAGGGCATTGTTTGAAAAAAGGGCATTGTTTGATTAAAGGGAATTGTTTGATAAAAGGGCATTGTTTGATAAACAGGCATTGTTTAATAAAAGGGCATTGGTCATTAAAAGGGCATTGTTTGACAAAAGATAATTGTTTGATGAAAGGACATTGTTTAATAAAATGACATTGTTTAATGAAAGGGCATTTATTTATTTATTTAAAGCTTTCGTGACTGCAGTAATTCATATTCTTAGCTCTTTCGGTAAAGTCACGTTGAAGGGAAACAATAAAATAATAAAATATATATAAAACAATACAATTCTCACGACGTTTCGACCATAACACAACGGTCATCACACCCTCAGGTGTCATCACATCATCACACCCTCAGGTGTGATGACGGTCATCACACCCTCAGGTGAGGGTGTGATGACCGTTGTGTTATGGTCGAAACGTCGTGAGAATTGTATTGTAAATTCTCACGTCGTGAGAATTTTTATTGTTTTATATATATTTTATTATTTTATTGTTTCCCTTCAACGTGACTTTACAGAAAGAGCTAAGAATATGAAAGGGCATTGTTTGATAAAATGGCATTGTTTCATAAAGAGGCATTATTTGACATTTCAAAGTCAGTCTGAAGCTGCAATGAAAATGAAATGTCTTCGTTTACTTGCCGCCAAGAGAGGTCTGAAATTGACACTCGTGGTTTGAACGACACTTGGCATGGAGATGTATCTATTTATCTTTAAGGGCAGCCCGTCCTTTGAACATGGTGAAGTGACACTCACAAGCCACCACACATCATTCACACCGACCAAATCATCGTTTCAATCGATAATTAAAAACCATCGCCATCAATCATCAACATCGTGAGCATACGTATCAACAATCATGAAGATCAACCACTCGCACAAATCACTCACAACAAAGCAAGCATCGCCATCACGATCATCTTGATGTTTCACGCTAAGCGTAGTAATAAAATAGAGAAATATACAAACATTCTATATGAACACTTGTCAAACAGCAGAAACCATCACGCGAACTGCGACCATCCTCGCAGCGGCTTTTGGCTGCTGCCATCGAACAAAGGCGGCGGTCACCGCATCGCGCCCATTCAGATGCGCTTCTGCGGCCGTCTGGAACGTTCTTCCCTCCGATACTATGAAGCCACTGGGAACCACGCACTTTTAAAATCACCTATATTGACAAACGAATTTCTTTAGAACTTTTTTTTGCGTATGCCTAGTTTTTTTTGTCCTTCCCCCATCACCTCCGAAGAGCACGGCTGGCATACGTACGGTGCGAACAAAGTTCAACGTGCGCACGTGACAAGCCACGCGGAGAACAACGTTCAGGCTTTCGAGTGGCGCGTCTCGTCCACATCGTCCGGGCCCCTCGGCTTGAGCTCCCGCTCGGCCTCGTGGTGAACCTGCGTGGGAGCCGACGGTCTCGGCATCTCCTTGACCCCCTGCGCGGCACCTTGTGTCGCCAGCCACACGTACTCGTTTTTCTTCTCGCCCTGCGGTGCCTGCTCCTCTTCCTCCTCCTGCCGCCGCCTCTTCGCCTTCCCGCTGCCGCTGCCCCGGCAACACAGCAGCACCATGGCCACGGCGCACACCACGATCACCACCAACACGAGGGCGATAGCAACGGGTAGCAGCACGTGGAACGCCAGGTTGGGTGTGGACTCGGTCGAGGTGATGTTCACCCGATCCGTCGTCGTCGTCGTCATGGTGGTGGTGGTGGTGCTGTCCAGCAGGCTTCGGTCGGGCGTGCACGTGACGTTGTCGGCCTCCAGGTGCCACCCCTCGTCGCACGAGCACTCGTAGCCACCCTCGGTGTTGTTGCACACGTGGTGGCACGCGTGCGCGCCCAGGTCACACTCGTCCACGTCGTGGCAGCCGAGGCCGCTCTTGTCCTGCTGGTAGCCGCGCGGGCACGTGCACTCGTACGAGCCGTCCGTGTTGACGCAGTGCTCGTCGCACGGCTCGTACTCGCACTCGTCGATGTCCTCGCACTCGGTGAGGTTCACCAGCTGGTAGCCCTCCACGCAGTCGCACACGAAGCCGCCCTCCGTGTTGGTGCACAGGCCCTGTTGCTGGCAGGGGTCGTCGCGCGCGCACTCGTCCACGTCCTCGCATCGACCTTGCGCGGGTTCGAACCCGGGCGGACAGGTCGGCGACATGGAGGAGGAGGAGGTGGAGGTGGAGGAGGATGAGGACAGGTCCTTGTTGATGATAGCTTGCAGCAGGCAGGGCAGCGGCTCGCTCACCTTCCACTCGGCGTCACCGCCCGCGCCTCCGCTGCAAACGGCGTTCGCCATCCCATCGGCAACATCACCACCGCCGTCACCACCACCAATATCATAATCGTCGTCGTCATCACCGCCATCACCTCCTCCGGACGTCGCTCCGCACACCACCACGGCCTTGCTCCCCACGGGCAGGATTCCCAGCGGGCTCACCGCGCCGCGGTCGTCCCACGGCACGCGGTAGCGCGCGGTGCCCGCGCTCGTCCTCACGGTGGAGGCTCGGAGCTCCTCTGCCAGCGAGAGGGGTCCGCACCCCGAGGCCACGCGGACCCCCACCGGGTGCTCGCACACGAACCCTTGCACCGCTTGACTCTTGCAGAAGCGCGACTTCCAACCCGGCGGCGCGTCGGCCGTCGCGAGCACGAGCGAGGCGCAGAGCTCACGGGTGCACGAGGTCAAGCCCTGCTCCAGCCAGTTCTCGTAATGGGAGGCAGCGACTCGAGCCTCGCTGCGCGCCAGCCACGAGAAGCCGCGTAAGGGACCCTTCATGTCCATCCTGCAGCCCTTGCGACGCAGGCCCATCCAGTACTCGGGAGCTCTGCTGGACTTCCGAGACGATGGGGATGATGATCGCGGGACTGATGACGACGACGACGACGAGCGATGCGTCTCCTCCTCGATCGCGCGCATGAGTCTGCCCAGTAGCTCTGCTTCTCCCTCGGTGTCCACGATCGCCAGATGTCCTCCCGTCTTCTCGCACGCCGTCGACGCCGCGTTGAAGTCCAAGTGCTGCTGCTGCGGCTGATGTTTGACGAGGCTGTAGCAGCTGCTACCAGAGCACGACACGAAGGTGGTCGGCGTAGCGCAAACGACATCGAGAAGCAGTGAGGCGAGGCACATGAGCAAGGCGACCATGGCTGCTGACTACTGATGAAGATGATGCAGCTGATGATCACGATGAAGATGATGCAGCTGATGATCACGATGAAGATGATGCAGCTGATGATCACGATGAAGATGATGCAGCTGATGATGACGATGATGCTGCCGTTACTGATGCTGCCGCTGTTGCTGCTATTACTGCGACTGGCGATGATATCGCTATTCTTTGCTTTTGCCGCTGCCGCTGCTGCTGCTGACTCCTCTAAACACGGTGACCACACAAATTCCTATACCCTAACCACTGTCCCACACACACACTCTCTCTTTCTCAGTCTCTCTCTCGCTCTATGGTCTCTCGCTGTTGTGTTAAGTATCACGATATCTCTCCCTGGCTGGACACCATCGACGGCACTCTAAGTAAAGTAATGAGATATCTTTAGCACGGAGAGAGAGAGAGAGAGAAGAAGGCGAGCGCAAGACGCGCGCTCCGTGTCCGTGAGCTGCGCTCGTGCTGATTTGGAACCGATGGGATTCACTCCGCCCGTTATAAGCGGGGAGGGAAGCGGAAAAGGCGACTGTGCAGAGAGACCCTGGCAGGAGGAGGAGGGGGGTGGAGACGGGGTGGTGGCGGCATTTCCTTCCAGCTCATTAAACTAACAATAATGATGATAAAATCACCGGAAAGCGAAGCGAACTTGCGATGTTTGTGATTTGTAGTGATTTTCTTTGGGGGTCACTCCCATAGAATAGCCACTCAGACGCTCGTGTTGGGTGCAAACTTTTGGGCAGCACTGTACGTTTATTTTGAAGATTGACTTATGTGCGTGCGTGCCTACATTGTGATGGAAGTGTCTGTGTATGTGCGCGTGTGTCTGTGGGGAGCGGTGGCGCAGTGATTAGCGCGCTGCCATGCAAGCTGTTAGCGAGCACCTATGAAGGCCGGCATGGCGCACGAATGGGGTGGGTGGCCAGCACCACGCCCGGCCACATTTGTCTCCCCAGTAGCGATGTTCACGCATCGCACCAACTACTTATTTGAGGCTGAGTCGACCCAGGGGAGGCACAGGACCGATTCAGATAATCGTCACTGGTGTTGGATCGTGAGCGGGAATCGACATCATGTCGCCGGGTTCGTATCGCAGCGCGTTAACCGCTACACTACCGCTCCCGCCACCACACACACATTCACTCACTCTCCCACTTTCTCCCAAGTGTTTTTAAACGTTCCTATCTATAGTGAGGGAAAAAAAGTATTTGATCCCCTGCTGATTTTGTACGCTTGCCCACTGACAAAGAAATGATCAGTCTATAATTTTAATGGTACGTTTATTTGAACAGTGAGAGACAGAATAGCAACAAAAAAATCAAGAAAAACGCATGTCAATAATGTTATAAATTGATTTGCATTTTAATGAGGGAAATAAGTATTTGACCCCTCTGCAAAACATGGCTTAGTACTTGGTGGCAAAACCCTTGTTGGCAATCACAGAGGTCAGACGTTTCTTGTAGTTGGCCACCAGGTTTGCACACATCTCAGGAGGGATATTGTCTTACTCCTCTTTGCAGATCTTCTCCAAGTCATTAAGGTTTCGAGGATGACGTTTGGCAACTCGAGCCTTCAGCTCCCTCCACAGATTTTCTATGGGATTAAGGTCTGGAGACTGGCCAGGCCACTCGAGGACCTTAATGTGTTTCTTCTTGAGCGACTCCTTTGTTGCCTTGGCCGTGTGTTTTGGGTCATTGTCATGCTGGAATACCCATCCACGACCCATGTTCAATGCCCTGGCTGAGGGAAGGAGGTTCTCACCCAAGATTTGACGGTACATGGCCCCGTCCATCGTCCCTTTGATGCGGTGAAGTTGTCCTGTCCCCTTAGCAGAAAAACACCCCCAAAGCATGATGTTTCCACCTCCATGTTTGACGGTGGGGATGGTGTTCTTGGGGTCATAGTCAGCATTCCTCCTCCTCCAAACACGGCGAGTTGAGTTGATGCCAAAAAGCTCCATTTTGGTCTCATCTGACCACAACACTTTCACCCAGTTGTCCTCTGAATCATTCAGATGTTCATTGGCAAACTTCAGACGGGCATGTATATGTGCTTTCTTGAGCAGGGGGACCTTGCGGGCGCTGCAGGATTTCAGTCCTCCACGGCGTAGTGTGTTACCAATTGTTTTTTGGTGACTATGGTCCCAGCTGCCTTGAGATCATTGACAAATCCTCCCGTTTAGTTCTGGGCTGATTCCTCACCGTTCTCATGATCATTGCAACTCCACGAGGTGAGATCTTGCATGGAGCCCCAGGCCGAGGGAGATTGACAGTTCTTTTGTGTTTCTTCCATTTGCGAATAATCGCACCAACTGTTATCACCTTCTCACCAAGCTGCTTGGCAATGGTCTTGTAGTCCATTCCAGCCTTGTGTAGGTCTACAATTTTGTCCCTGACATCCTTGCAGAACTCTTTGGTCTTGGCCATGGTGGAGAGTTTGGAATCTGATTGATTGCTTCTGTGGACAGGTGTCTTTATACAGGTAACAAGCTGAGATTAGGAGCACTCCCTTTAAGAGTGTGCTCCTATCTCAGCTCGTTACCTGTATAAAAGACACCTGGGAGCCAAAAATCTTTCTGATTGAGAGGGGGTCAAATACTTATTTCCCTCATTAAAATACAAATAAATTTATATCATTTTTGACATGCGTTTTTCTGGATTTTGTTGTTGTTATTCTGTCTCTCACTGTTCAAATAAACCTACCATTAAAATTATAGACTGCTCATTTATTTGTCAGTGGGCAAACATACAAAATCAGCAGGGGATCAAATACTTTTTTCCCTCACTGTATGTATGAGCGCGTGTGATAGTGCAGCGGTGAGCGCTCTGCACGATCAACCCGGCAAAGACACAACGAGTTCGCGACTCACGCTCTCAGCCACCAACATCCCTGACGATCATCTGAACCGTTCCTGGGCCTCCCCTAGGTCGACTCAGGCTCAAATACGTGTGGGGTGTACACATCACCACCGGGCAGCCTAACAGGCGGCCGGGCGTGGTGTTGGCCACCCACTGACTAGTGGGCCGTGCCGGCCTTTATAGGTGCTGCTACTCGCGGTTGTCAGATGTTGACTACCTCGCCTGGTGTACAGGAGGTCGTGGGTTCCGTCCCGACCCTGACGCCTGCTGCTGTATATTTGGGGTTTGCGTGTCTCTCTCTCATCATCATCACGGTGGCTAGGAGATGTTAACTACCTCGCCTGGTGTACAGGAGGTTGTGGGTTCGATCCCGACCCTGACGCCTGCTGCTGTATATTTGGAGTTTGCGTGTCTCTCTCTCATCATCATCACGGTGGCTAGGAGACGTTGACTACCTCGCCTGGTGTACAGGAGGTCGTGGGTTCCGTCCCGACCCTGACGCCTGCTGCTGTATATTTGGGGTTTGCTTGTCTCTCTCTCATCATCATCACGGTGGCTAGGAGATGTTAACTACCTCGCCTGGTGTACAGGAGGTCGTGGGTTCGATCCCGACCCTGACGCCTGCTGCTGTATATTTGGAGTTTGCGTGTCTCTCTCTCATCATCATCACGGTGGCTAGGAGACGTTGACTACCTCGCCTGGTGTACAGGAGGTCGTGGGTTCGATCCCGACCCTGTCGCCTGCTGCTGTATATTTGGAGTTTGCGTGTCTCTCTCTCATCATCATCACGGTGGCTATGAGACGTTGACTACCTCGCCTGGTGTACAGGAGGTCGTGGGTTGCATCTCGACCCTGACGCCTGCTGCTGTATATTTGGGGTTTGCGTGTCTCTCTCTCTCTCATCATCACCACGGTGGCTAGAAGATGTTGACTACCTCGCCTGGTGTATAGGAGGTCGTGGGTTGCATCCCGACCCTGACGCCTGCTGCTGTATATTTTAAGTTTGCATGGCGGCAAGATGTTAACTAACTCGCTTGGTATACAGGAGGTCGTGGGTTCGATTCCGACCCTGTCGCCTGCTGCTGTATATTTGGAGTTCGCGTGTGTCTCTCTACGCGTGGCTGCATGTATTTTTCTCCGGATCCTCCGGTTTTCCCCTCCAACATTAAGAATCAACATACGCTCAGAGCATTTGGCTGCTGCTATACATTTCCACATTGATAAGCTACCATTTGTGGCCAAGTCGCTCCTGAAAAAGACCTATATAGCTCAGTGGGCCTTACCTGGTAAAATGAAAAAAATATTTTTTTTTAAGTTTATTTTACACCGTCCGATTTACGACATTGTGTCGTAAAAACGGGGACCGCCTGCATTCGCGCGTTAATGTATTAGATGATGTAGCTTGTTCCTAAGGTTACGTTACCGCTAACACGTGAGAGTTCGTATTGTCGGGGTGGCCGTGCAAATGACGTTGGTTAAAGGCGTGCGCGCTTTGAGACGGGGCTCTGTGATTCAACTGTTCCAGCCTCTGGAGATAATTTCATCAACTCTTCAAAGTAGTCATTGGGAGAGGGGGGGGGGGGGTGAGGGCATCACGAGAAAGAAACATTTCCGTCCATAATAATTTTTTTTGGGTCTCTGTTATGGATAACATTGGTCGCGAAAACTCACGTGTTAAACAGACATCTGCGCCTTCAGCAAACGTGCGTCTCGCACACGTGACGTCGAAGGGGCCATGGTCGTTGCAGGAATAACACGGCACAATAGTTAGAACGTGTTCTAAATATATGTATTGTATTGCGGATTATGTGATACACCTTTCTCTTCTATTTTAAAACAAACGTTGTGGTTGACGAGAGGGAGGGAGGGAGGGGGGGGAGTGGGGGGTTTCGTCGGGTGCAAGCAGATTCCTCAAATTTTACGAACACATGGGCATGGGTTTCGGTGGGCGCGTCTTACTTTCCGGTGCGTCTTACAATCCGGACAAATACGATGGCCACCGCTCTCATTTTGCTGGTGGTCGCTTGTGGATTTTCACACCGACCAAATATCCAAGCCACCACATTCTGCACGAGCCTGATGATGATGATTATCGCTACACATATTTCCCATTACACCGCGCGCGTACCACGTGAAGCTTTGTGTTGTTTATGCCTCTTTGCAAGTCAGGCGGGAGAGAGGCGTAGCAACAGCTGTTGCCCACGAAATTCGAGATACACCGTGGTCGTTTTTTTTTAGGGCGGGGATGTGTTTGTGTGTGTGTGTGTCAGTGTGCGCATGAGGAAATCATCATCGACATCATCATCATCAGTATCATCCAGTAGGGGACTGAGCGTGCCTGCTAATGATCAATGCGCGCACCCGGTGGGATTGAAGGGCGGTGGTGTCGCGTTCAGTGCGCTGTGCTACAACTCCGGCTAGCCGAGTTCGATTCCCGCTCACTGCCAACACCAGGGACGAGATTATCTGAACCGATCCTGGGTCTCCCCTAGGCCGACTCAGCCTCAAAGGAGTACCTGGTTCAGTGTGTAAACATCGCCACTAGGGAGACTAAGACGGCGGGGCGTGGTGCTGGTCTCCCACCCCTTCGTTCTCGCTCACAGCACTTGCCCCAACAGTATGTCACAGGCTATACGGGGGACCTTTGTCTTTTCACGCGGCTATCGTCATCAGCATCATCATCCAGGAACTCATAAACACACGGCCCAC